TTTCTCGTCCCCCCTTCTCTCAAATCACAATCAAACTCAAATCGAAAATTTTCAGATTCCTGTCTCCTATGTATCCTCGATCCAACAAATACTTACTGGAGCAATAAACTTTTAATTTCTAAAAATAAAAACGTGATTATTGGGACCCTAAAAGAATCAAATCGCGATCGACATCAAACAATATCCGAAAATCTGAGAATGTTGATTGATAAAAATAGAGATGAGATGGTGATCAGATTCATGAACAGGAACAATTAAAATGAAAAATCCTTTTTTGTTTGGTGACTCAGTTGTTTGTTTAGAGTGAATAATCTACCGACATGTCACGAATTTTTATTCAAAGCTCTAGAATCTGGTCATTATTTTAAGCGTATTTTTAATGGCAAGTGTGTTGGAATAATTATTGACCGGGGCTTAAAAATACATTTTTGATTTAAATAAAATTTAAATTAGAACCTCCTTTTAAGTTTCTAATTTAAAATATTTATATAGATTAAAAATTTTGCACCGTTGGTGATTTTGGATTGACGTGGATGGGACTGGAAGTGGTCTCTGTCAGAGGGCGGAGCCAGTTTTTCTTCTTTCTTTTCCTTTTTTCTTTAAAGTCTTTTAGAGAGAGAGAGAAAAACGTCTTTCATCATTCCATGCCTCCCGCCGTAATCATTTCAATTTGCGGACTTTGATTAGCTTCATGCGGCGCCGTTTGGTTTGCATGTTTCACCTTTCTCCGTTGCTGGAGGTGTTCGAGCAGCGGGACCCCTTTGAATCTTTCTTTGTCGGCACAGTATCAGGTATCTACTGTTCAATTACATGAGCCAATGGAGAGTTTTTTTTTTCCCCCTTTTTTCAAAAAATTAAATCTCTTCCTTCCTTTTTAAACAAGATAATATATCAATAAAATAATATTTTAATTAAAATTTTTATATATAAGATATATGTCCATATCATTGAATTAAAGATTTAAAATATTTTAAACATATCAAATTTTTGTTATGCTAATGAAAAGAAAATACCCGACATCAAAATTTAAGAATTTCAATCTAATAGGAAAAAATTAAACCGAATAATTTTTTACACAATTTACTAAATGCAACAAGAATTTAAGTAATTTGGATTTGTATAATTGTGTCTTAATCATATTAATAAGTTAATTTATGTTACTCAACATATTTGTTTCATTTAAATTTATTTATTAAATTATTAATATTTTAAAAATGTTTAAAGTGATTTATTATTCTTATTAAATCAATTAACTAACTTTATTCAAGTAAGTTCATTTTATGATGTCCAAATAGGTGGATTTTATTTAAACATGTTAATTGCATCATATCCTTTGACTCATTTATTAAATGCACTGTCTTTGTATCAAGGACTTTAACATGATTAATTAATTATATCTTATTTATATCAATTCATTTTTCTGTTAAATTATTATTTTTACACAACAAGATTATAACATCCCAATACGAATTATTAACCCTTCAAAAGACAATAAAACAAATTCATTGCATAAGAAGTTAAAGAATATGAACCCGGCCCAATATCAATGAAGATATGGGGTCAAGATCAACAAGCAGGTCAAGAGGACACCAGCCCAAAATGAGTTTTAAATTTACCTCTCGCTAGTAGCCAAAGAGAAATAAAATAAAGTTTTGGGGAGAAGTGGGAAATCGCGAAAATACAAGCATTCACTGCTTAAAAATTGACTAAAGTTAGGGTTAGGGTTTAAGCAAGGAAGAGGAAGGAGAATCAAGTCCGAGGCGGTGCCAACAGGAGAAGATGTCGAAGAAGAATAATTTAGCTCGTAGAAAGAAGCAGCACGAGTTCGATCTCCAAAGTACCAAATTCGTAACGTTTCCTCCCTCTTTATGCCTCATTTGATTTATTTATTTCAGTGATTTGTGATTGTGTATTTATTTTTGGCAAATTAGGAGAGAAGGCAGAGAAAGAAAAGCAGGGTAAGAAGCTTCAAGCAAAGAAGAATAAGATGAAGGTAAGAATCTTTTATAATTTCAGTAGTTAATAACCTTTTTTGTTGATTTATTGATATATTTTATGGGGTATTTCTAAAATTTAATTAGGTTGATGGGAGTGAGAATAAAAAGAAGAAAGGTGGAAGTGGGTTTCAAGTAGGGAAGAGAAAATTGAAGACCAAGCTGACAGAAGTGGCTAAAGCTAAAGCAGCTCAAGCTATGGAGCTTGACAAATGAACGTTCATGTAATAAAATTTTGAGCGCTTCACGGTTTTTGTAATTTTAATGGGAATATATTTTTTTTTATTTCCGTTAAATTTTGCTTAGTGAGATTAAAGTATATGTTAGCTTGAGAATTTTTTGATAGTGTGACAGCATAATTTTTAATGAATCTGTTTTGGCTGACCAATTTTCTCACTAAGATAAGCATGTGTATTAGTTTGGAAAACATTGGCTAAAGAGGCAACATGATCTCCCATCCAGCCTTTGTTGTCTAATGGGAATATTTGCTTTTCTTCAATAATTTTTTTTAGAGCTGAGAAAATTTTTGGATTTTGTAATGTGTGAGACCTGCAATATTCATTTTGTATCAATACATGATGGGAAGGCAAGAAGATTGTTGAGGATCAAGAAAAGTTGACTCCTTGTTAGGATCTATATATGTATATGTATATGTTCGTGTGTGTGTGTGAAAAATATTATGCTGGATAGTAGAAGAAACTCCTTGGATGGCTGTTTCGAATGTTGTAGATTGTGAATCTGAGATGATTTTCTTATGTTGGTTAATGAATCTGTTTTGGCAGACCAATTTTCTTACTAAGATATATATGTTATTGGTTTGGAATACATGGTTAAAGATACAACATGATATCTTATCCAGCTTTTGTTGTGTGATGGGAATATTTGCTTTTCTTGAATCATTTTTTTTAGAGTAGAGAAAATTGTTAGATATTGTAATGTGCCAAGGCTGCTAAATTTCTATTGTATTGATACATGATGGTAAGGCAAGAAGATTGTAGAGATCACAAAGAGGTGACTGTTTGTTAGGATTTATTCGTATATATATGTGTGCAAAATATTATGTTGGATGCTAGAAGAAACTCCTTGGATGGCTTGCTTATAACCAAGCCGCTAAACTTTTGTTGGGTTTCAATGAGGCAATGCTTACAATTTCAGTGTTACAAAAAACACTTATGTTTCTTTGTGCCTTGCCACCTGAAGACCCAAGCAGGTCTTATTTATTGACATGAACTGTATCTATCTATTCTATGCAGTTGTTCTGCATAGTGAAGTCAGAAGTCCAGGTAAATGCTATGTCAAGGGAAAGGTGGTATGGTCGGATTCGCCGGTGATGTGTTGATGCTTGGTTGTATAACTATGTTTGGGCTATGCTCAAGCCTATGTTTAAGCTGATAAACAGGTTTATTGTTAAAAGTGCTAAGAGAGATGTGTGTTTCCTCTGCAGTGAAGTCTTTGCCGACACATTGTGTACGTACACATACTTCCTTATGAATTTCTTTATGCAAACTTTTAGTAAATTTGGCTAGCTATGGCTTGGAGAAGTTCAATTGCATGTTTGTGATGTTAAATGTTAATAGTTAGACATGGTTGCTACTGGTGCTCGATGATTGATCCAATTAATTCCAGTCGTGGTTTTCCAGAGATAAGCATTTGACTCCACTCCACCGAGTTTATCACACAAATAAGTACTCAATTTGTAATCTAAAGTAATAATTATTATTAATAATCGATAAATATTTATTAATTAATTAATTTACAAATATATAATTTGATTAATATTTTTACTGCACAGGTTCACGAAGCATGTGCAAGAAGAAAAGTAAGTGAGCAGCCCCTGTTCCCGGATCTCCTGCGATAGCAAATCAATGCATAATTGTACTGTAAAAAGCCCATTTAAAAAAACTGCCTGCTGATGGTCTTCGATATATCAATCATGACGAAGAAGCCCACTTATTGCAGTTAAGTTATTATTTATTAATGTCTGCCTGCTGCTCTGTATCATCATCTTTCTCTGCTTGCCTGGTGGGTTTCGTAATGCACCGTACTGGGCCTTGAAATTTGCAAACCCTTGCCCTTCCTGCCGCAAGATTATTCAATGTATACACTGCCGTCCTTTACCCTGCTTAATTAGGCACGAGGAAAATGAAAAATGGAAGAAGAAAAGGGGTGGTACCATGGTGGAAATATAGTTTTCTTACAAAGCTTTGGTAACAAGTTCTGTGCCTTAAAAACCAGCATTTTGTATCAAACCATTGAACTGGATGAGGCAGGAAACACAATCCAACAAGCTTGATTAACCATATCAATCTTTCGAAGCTCTTTTACTTCCTCTGTGACAATTATTTTGAGGTTAGGTGAAATTTCAGTACTCGGGAGTCGATGTTTGGCCATAAAAAGGAAAAAAAGAAACAGTGTGCTAATTGTCCTGAGTCATGACACTCGTACTAAAGTGTCTGGACGTGCCACATATGCTAGGTTTCACAACTTGAACAAATTTCATTGTTCTAGTTCTGGTTCTCATTTTTTCTTTGGCTGAAATCTGACCAAAAATAAAAGGCCATGTAATACCCTTTTTTTCCTTTTTGTTTTTTAATTGAATTAGAGGAGGAGGAGAAGAAGAAGAAGACGAGAGCAAGTAGTGGGTGTCAGACAGTCAGGTATGATTTGTGAAGAAGTGCATCAATAAATTTTCTAGTACAGTGGATGGAGGATGTAACTTGTAAGCATGTGCAAGTGAGTCAACTTTAGTCTATAGAGAATAGACTAAAGCCACCAACAGGTCTTATTTTGTCTGGGGATTAGTTTACGTTTTGTCAACATCACCATACCACCTTCTCCTACTAATAAATAAGCATTTTCTCGTCAAATTAGATAAATTTACATATCTTTCACACAAGATCATTAGCTTAAAAAAATGGGTTTTTTATTTTCTATTTGAAGGACAATTTCTTTGGTCTCAAATTTTGCCATTTCTGCTGCTAAATTATGTCTTCATTTACCTTTAAATCAATCATAGGCATCCAAAGTCCTTCATAATTATGATTAAAGTTGAAATGTTCAAAGTGTCGGCCGTTATGAATTTGCAACCTCTTGACTTGAAATTTACTATCATTAGATATTTTTCTTTAGATTTCAACTTCATAAACAACTATCCGGTCATTGTGCATAGTTTAGCTGATAATTATATTTCTTCTTTAAAAAAGATATTATGTCTACTTTGCTTCTAACATGTGAATTTCGTGGCACCGACCCCCTAACCCAAATCATCATCATGTTTTAAGCATTGGGTATAACATTCCACAAGCTCTTAATCCATAAATATTTGTCGAGGAATCAAAACATACCCACCCCCCCAAAAAAAAAAAGAGAAATAGTATTTAATTTGCAAAATACATAAAGGAAAAATTAAAAAAAAAGAGGGGCGTGTAACTTGAAAGGACTAGGAAGTCCATTATAGAGGCATACATCATAGCTAGAGGTGCTTTCTTGTGGTTCATGATCCAAAGTTTGTCCCATATAAATTAATATTTTAATCTCATACTTAAAAAGGGTTTATATTAAACTAATCATACAAAATAATTAATGATATCAACTCTCTACTGCCCCCGACATGCTATGACTTTGTGGGTACATTGCAAGTCAACCTTGACCCGTAAGTTAAAAAAAAAAGAAAAATCGCATTAAAAAAGATAACAATTAGCTTTCACAACGTGGCATCAATTGGGTTTATTTTATTCTTTGTACAAATATTTTAACTGTATTCAATAATTAAAAAAATGTACCAAAATTGAAATCTTGGGCAAAGAGGGTAACCCAAGTAGGCGAGGAAAGAGACTTCTTACGGGATGTTCTTCTCTCCGGGCAATAAATATGCCAAAAATATTCAAAACTTTGAGGTCATCTTCTTGTATAATATTTGTGGGGTCCTGTCCCTTCAAGTGGGGAAGAGTGGCCTGCGGGTCAGCTACCGAATAGATAGAACGAATTACCAAGTCTTAAAAAAGGGAATTAATAAAAGTACTCAGTAATTTTTTTTAAATGAAGAAATTGGTATATGTTTATAGTTCTATGAATCATAGTATCTAATATAAATATACATTATTAATGTAAAAGAATCTAACAAAGAGAATGACATCTTCTGGTGTTTTCTTATGAAACTTGCCTTAGACTAATAGAGTACTTATTTGATACTATTCTTATAAAAATAGTAGAGTTTATATTTAATGTTTAATTATAGAATACAATCTTATAAATATGTAAAGATTAAAATTTATTTTTTTAAATTATATATATTTAATTTTTTAATTTTATTGATAATGTACAATTTGTTCAATGACAACTTATTAGATATATATGCTTTTATAAATTATCCCATCGTGTCAAAATACTTTATTAAATTTTATTAAAAAAATATAGACAGATTGTAATATGTTAAAGTTATTTTTACATATTATTAGGGCCTAACTTATAAAAAAAGTTGTGGCATGGTCTTGATTTTGCATGAAATATTATTTGCCTCGATTTTAACCGGATGAATGAACCATGCGTTGAGCACGGGGGGGTGACGTTATCACTGCCTCCGGATAGATATTTTTCGGCTGATGGTCTACACACAGAGCAATGTTAGTGGTAACAGAGAAAGGTCACATGCAAACAAGGCTCGCCCTCTCCTCACCCCTTGTCTCAATCCCCATTTTCAGTTGTCGTCGTGCTTGCCACGCGCTCCCATCCCCAAGGACCACTTTCTTTTTGTTTTGCCCTTTTTCTCTTTTACTTACCATCTGTCACAACAAAATTATAATATTAATTTGAAGAATTAATAACTCTTTTTAAGAATTGAACCAAAAAATATAATGTCAATGATTCTTATTAGAATTTAAATTAAGGATTTATATCTGATTCATTACAATTATATTGATTTAAGGAGATATTATTATCTCATTAATGAATAAATTTTAAAATTTTGAAATCATTAAATATAAATATTTTTCTCATTAAATAATGAAGGTGATTTTTATGATTTTTCAAAAAGTAAAAAAAAAGAAACTAACAATCCAATTAAGAAGAAAGAGGAGTTAGACTCCATGATTGAACTTGATGATTTGAACAATTTTCACAAATCCCCAATAGATTAAGTTAATTCGATGGACAATGAAAAACTAATTATTTTTAAGATAATGAGATATTAATTTTTTTTATTTATAAACTATGAAATAAATGTATAATGTATAAAATATAAAATTTTAAATTAATAATAAATATTTTTCTCACATTTGCAGTTTCTTTCTTATTAAACATAAAATGTTAATGATTTTTTTAATTGAAAAGAAGGACTGATTTAGAATTTAAATTAAAAATATGATGTAGTACAAAAATATAAAAAGGAAAGAGGAAAAGGTGCGGAATAATAGCACACGCGATATGAGCGCGCGTGGGAGTGGGACAGACAGGCTTTCCATGAGACCGTATTTAATATTCAAAATTCCAACTTCTTACAAAGAAATAAATATCAGTTAATATTATCCAAGAATAAACGCTTCAATTTTCTGTTGAATTTTGTTGTTTGTTTGTTTGTTTGTCAGCCTCTCTCTTCCCCTCGTTTAAAAGATAAAAAGCCCTTAGTTTAGTTAAGTCTTTTAACTCTTTTTGAACTTAAGCCAAGTAGCCAACCTCCTCGGCCCTCTCTAAAAGCAAAGCATCATCACTCACTCACTCGTCACACACTCGAGAAGAAGATGAGAGAGAAACCGAAGATAAAGATAAAACTTTTTAGATAGAAAGAGAGAGAGAGAGGAAGAGAGAGAAACAAAGAAAAGAAAGATAAACAGCTTTTATTATAGAGAGGAGAGAGTAACTAAGAAGGAGAAAGAGAAAGCTCTGCCCTAGAAATATGTATCCCGATAAGGACTTGTGTATGCAAAGCTTTTTGTAGTAAGTAATAAAAAACGCTTTCCGTCCCACTTCACGCAGAAATGGCCTCTTTTCTGCATTTCTCAGTCTGCCTTTAATCCCCATAACTTCTCGCAAAGACTGCTTCACTTTCTTTTCTTTCTTTCTGCTTTTTTATTTTTGAAAAAAACCCATCTTCTTCAAAGCTTCTTACTTTCGAAAGGCTGGACCTTTAACCCCAGTCCACTAATGTAAGTTACTTTCTCTTTCTGGGTTTTTTTTTAGAGATAAGGAGCAAACGATTTTACCCATTTCTGCTTAGTTTTTGAAGAGAGCTGTAGTTTAGTTATTTCAACTCAGTTTGACTTTCTTTACTGGCATTGGCTTCAGCTTTTGTCTGTTTCTTCCTTTTTTCTTTTTCTTTATTTTTATTTTGTGTGTAAATCGTTTTCTTTGGGTTGTGATTTTGAAGTGTGTTATGGTCTGGGGCTTTGCCGTGGAAGATGCTTGGTGTTAAAGGTATATAATGGGTTGGTGAGTGTGGACCTGGTTTTCAGTTTCCATCTGCTTCTTATTATCTTTAACATGAAGCCTTTATCTTTGTTTCCTGTGGTTTGGTAAGCTGTAAAATAGCTTGCATTTTTGTCTTTTCCTTCATTTCAAGTTCTAAGCTTTTGATATTTCAACTCTTTTTTCTCTGTTGGCTGCTATTAGATTCTTGGGTTTTGCCTTTTCCGCTTATAGTCTTGTAATTTCTTCCGTGGTTGTTTTACTAGTTCCTCTCTTTGTAACTTTGGCACCGCTGTGAGCAGATGACAATATATTTTCTTTTCTTTCATGTCTAGATTTGAGGAGCTTCGTTTGTAACGCTAAATGTATCTCTTCGGTTTCTGTTCTGGCTGGATTTCCATCGCCATGCGTCTGTGAATTTTGGTTTATTGGAATATGAGCCATGAAACGAGTTCTTCATTGACTTCTTGTAATCTTTGATATGGCTGATTCTTTTCTCTGTCTCTCTTCATGTTGGTTCCAAGATCTGTATGCTTTTCAACTGTTTAGTGCTCACAATTTGGAACTTCATGGGCGCTTTTCTGTTGTTTTGACTTTGCAATTTGTATGGAGCGTTTGTCATTGCATTGAACTTTAGAACAAATAGAGCTGTCTTTTTGGTTATTTAAAATTGGCTTGTAAGTTGATTTGAAGGCGCATTGAAGTCTAGGTTATTCGAGGTAAATGCATGGATCGAAGGGATGCTATGGCAATATCGGGGTCTGCTTCTTACTATATGCAACAAAGAGGAATAACCGGGTCAGGGTCTGGAACACAGTCTGGGATACATGGATCTCCAGGCATTCATCCATTATCTAGTCCAAATGTACAATACCAATCAAGTATTAGTGCCACTACTATGGGATCAACCTTACCTGTAGAGCCTTCATCTGGAATTGCCCCTCATAGTGTCAATGTAGGCACACCTTCAGCTGTGCCACCTAGTGAGACTGTGAAACGGAAAAGAGGAAGGCCTCGAAAGTATGGACCTGATGGAACTGTTTCATTAGCATTGACTCCAGCATCAGCTACTCATCCTGGGACAATAACACCAACCCAAAAACGGGGAAGGGGGCGGCCACCGGGTACTGGAAGGAAGCAACAGTTAGCTTCCCTTGGTAAGATGTTTTTGCCAATTTGTTTTTAATGTGTACAGCTTGATTATGCAGAACGTTTCTTGTAGTGGTGGTTTAACCTGGTGGAAATAAGCTTTGTTGCATTTTTTCTTGTTGCTTAGGGTAAAAGACTTTTGTTGTGTCCACATATTTAGTCAGGCTTATGTCAATGCTGCCAATGAATCTGTAGTATTGCCAACCGGTCTGCTTTCTAGTTTCTATTAGTTGTTATAAATCGCTAGCTCATTTGTGCTTATTTAATGCGGAGTGGGGTCAGAGGCCGCTTCCGCTTGAAATGAATTCTAGATTCCATCTCAATTAAAAAAAGCTGCCTATGGGACTCTGTTACTGACTATATTATTAGTCTATTGGCCTGAGCATAGTACTTGGAAATTTGTCCATTTTCAGACTAAAATTTTGGAAGCAATAAAATTTCCAAAGCAGTTGAAATTTAAAAGAACAAAATTGGTGCAAGAGAAAATGAGATGAGCAACTTAGAGCTTGTCCAGAGAAAGGGTATGATGCAAAAAGAAAAAAGCAGCAGAAATCAGAGTGTTTCAATGAGATGAATAATATTACCTTATGCTTGGCAACTGTTGTCAAATTGTATGCCCAGCCATATTGTTGGGAATTGTGCTGAGAGCGGATATATTGGGAATATGCTGAGAGCTGATAAAGTTTTAGACTTTAAATATGTGTCAGTGACATATTATAATAATCAGGACATAAATATTCAAAAGTGGAAGTTTTCATGACTAACTACATAATCATCTCTATAAGCGGAAATTCCATTTCTTTAGCATATGAACATGTAATCTTCTATCATAATCGTTGCAATTTAAGTAAACTTGCTTGCTAGCTGGATTTCTAAGCCTTTTGAAGGGCTACCTTGAGCTATTCAGCTCTGTTTAAAAGTGCTTATTCTGACATTTTGTTCTTGCTGTGTGAATGATGTTGCAAATGTCTAATTGTTTTGCTAGGTGAATGGCTCTCTGGTTCAGCTGGGATGGGTTTTACTCCTCACGTCATCACCATTGCAATCGGAGAAGTATGAAAACTTTTCTTTTATCAATTATACTAGGGTCTCTACCCTTTAAATTAAATATACAAGAAATTAGGATGTTTTCACTGTACGGGATGGTGGCAGCCAATCCATACCGTATTAGGCACAAAAGCTGCTTGGTCTATATATATTGTTTCCTTAACTTTTTATATTTTATGGTGAACTGGAAGTGCCCAATATTTGTTCATGATGATAATGCAGTTGATGTAGACATTGATAGAAAAATTTAAGGAACAACAATTAGGAACTGTAATTTGCTTCGTTCCTCTATCTTCTCACAAAACTGAAAATAAGTTTCCAAGGGCTAGGCTGTTATATGTTGTCCTTTATAAGGAATTTAAGGAGGAACATAGTTAGGCTTAATTGTCCCTGTTATTCTTCATGATTTTACATCTGATTTGCATTTTCTTTTGTGTCCCTGTATTTATAACTTTCTGAGCCAAGGCCACCTCTTTCAGTTGTGTGATAGATGAGGGAATTAAGTTTGTATTAAGATTTTACTCTGTTTTTCTAACAAAAAAATAGATATTCTGTTTTAAAGTGATACTTTTGAGGTATAAGTTTTTTAAATGTGGTACTATTTCTTTTGGCATGTTATCTTTTATCTGGAAGAAAGTTCCTTTGTCTTGAAATTACTTCAAATATTTTTTGTAGGACATTGCAACAAAAATAATGTCATTTTCACAGCAAGGGCCAAGAGCTGTATGCATTTTGTCAGCTAATGGTGCTGTCTCTACCGTAACTCTTCGTCAGCCATCTTCCTCGGGTGGTACTGTCACATATGAGGTTTGAGCACTCAATAAGCTGAGTCTTATTTTGTTCTATGGCAGTTATGTTGATGCAACCTTAGAATATTTTGCTGAATAATGTTGAGAGGTTTAAGTTTCCTGTTAAGCTCATTTCTTGAATGCAATAAAGGACACTTATATTGCATATTTTCACATATATCTTCAGTCCAGTACTGTTACAATTGTTAGTAGTTTCATTACTATTTAGCAAGCTCTTCAGTTCTGACATTAATTTCCCCGTTCTTCTGAAACTCTTTTTCTTAATGCATATTTTTAGTTGAAAAGTATATTTTTTCTTTGTATTCTGATTTCTGTAGGGGCGATTTGAGATATTATGTCTGTCAGGCTCTTACCTACTGACCAGCAATGGTGGCTCTCGCAATCGAACTGGTGGTCTCAGTGTTTCCCTTGCCAGTCCTGATGGTCGCGTCATTGGTGGAGGTGTTGGAGGGATGCTTATTGCAGCAAGCCCTGTTCAGGTATCTCTTTGGTTGCTGTGATATCTATGATGTTATCTCTAAATTCTCATTTGTAATTGGTGATTTATATCTGTTAATTAGACCTTCTATAGGTTTAAACTGGCTTTTTATGCATGCTGGTGTCCTTAAATATGGGGGTTAGGTGAGACTGGGCGGTTTCAACTTATTTAGGAATATCACTGGCAGCCTAGCTGTCTATTTTTTCTGCTCAAATTAATTTTGCTTGCTATATTGTGCGCTGAAATGTTAGGATGCCACAATAATACCATTCCAAAAGGCAGATCTGCTAATACTTTATATGCATTGGGTTATAATACTGGGGCACTTAAATCGTGTACCATGAGCATGGGATTCAACATGATCCAATCAACCTTTTATTTATCTTAAGCAAATGATGAATGAACCAGGTGATTGTGGGAAGTTTTCTGTGGGGTGGTTCAAAGACGAACAAGAAAGGGGGAGGTCAAGAAGTTGTAAAAGACTCGGATCATCAGACTGTTGACAATATGGTAACCCCTCCTGGCATTTCGCCAAGTCAAAATCTGACTCCAACCTCAGCAGGTGTATGGCCTGGTTCACGATCAATGGATATGCGTAACACTCATGTTGACATTGATCTAATGCGCGGATGACTCTTTCCTCCTAATAGTATCATGAGCAATGTGTATAGTTTGCTGTTGAAGGCCACCTGATTGTAATTTGAAAGCCCTGTGGACAGAATATAGGCCAGCTGATTTTTGGCTTGATGATTCTCACTTCATTTACCCATGACAATGACATACTATGGGATTTGTTCTGATATTTGTAGCTTGATGACAGTTAGTTCAAAGATTTTAGAACTCGCGATTTCCACTAATCGTAAGAGGCACATTTCATTCTCTAATGTGAACCGGTTAAATAAGACATGCTGCGGTTCTCTTTATAGGTTGTCATGGTTTTATTTCTTTATAGAGAGTCAACATGCAATTCGTCTCCGAAATGTACGGCCAGTTTAATCAGTGAGAAGATAGTTCACCCTAGAATTCTGTTAATCAGACTTGTAATCAAGTAATTGAGGAAACTTTGGAAGGGTATGTAATGGATCTCTTTGTTTCAGAACACGTAGCAAATGAACATGGAAGTTCATTTGATCGCAAAGAGTATGCTGTGAACATGTAAAATTAATCAACAGCACTTCAAGCTTCAGACCCAGTAATGTCCAAGCCGACCCTATATTTCTTAGGCTTCCCGATGGTTTTCCAGACAACCTTGAGGCATCAACAACGACGTTAGCACAAGGAGGTTGACAATCATGCTGATCGTCACATCCAATTGTGGGATCACACCCATCAACCACCGTGGCCACCACGCTGCGCCCATTACCCCTCATAATGAAATTGTGTAAGCACCTCTTCTTTTTGTTGAGCCCATCCCCGTCCACAGTGCCACAGTTTTTTCAGATCATCGGAGTGGAACTGATTTATATTTAGATATTCATTTTTCAATGATCTTGTTGCTGTGACCTGCTGCAATTGAGACAATAGCAACGTACTCACAATACGCCTAGAGAAACAAAGGGACAAATCGTCCAAGATCGTTTAGGCACATGGAGATCCCCCTCAGCTGAAAGTTATCTCAACTGTTATGGCACAGTTCACACTCAGTTTGTATTATATGTAAAGAATTGACAGGCCGAAAGGATCTCATAATTGCAACCGAGATATCATTTTATAATGACCAGGCAACTATCAGCAGAACCGTAACCTTGCCATCTCTTTCACTCTTGAACAAGGTTTTAACTTCATGCACCAAGGCTTGATCACTACAAATCTACAATACATCATAAAAGGCAATCTGATGTCTCCGAAACTGTCTGGTAACCAGGGGCATGATCATGTGAAGCTGGCGTCGTACGCAGATGCTAGAAGACAAACTTAGATGACTCGGCCAATACGAACATCTGACAGAGATACGCCGAGGGGATTTTTCTATAATTACAAAATTAAGGTATATGATTCATACATGTTATTACCTCGACAATTTTATACTCTAGATATTTTCTTTCCTCATTATTTGTAACAATAGTTTTGGCAAAAGAAAAATGCTTCATGCAAAAGTGAAAAGGCCACTAAATTGTCCCAATTTGATGTTATTTCTTGATTACCCCATAGCTCATCCCTACAAATAGCTTTTGTACGAGCCAGCTTTTGTCAAACCAGGGCATCACAAGAGGAAAGAGTAAAGAAAAATGAAGCAGCAAATTTGTTCAAGTGCTTTCCTTTTCCTTTGCTTTCTTTTTCTTTTTCTTAGTGTTGAAGCTCAGACCTGCAGTCCTAGTGGCAACATAAGAGGGAAAAAGCCTCCACCAGGGAAATGCAACACCGAGAATGACTCTGATTGTTGCAAAGATGGCAAATGGTACACAACATACAAGTGTTCACCACCAGTGTCCAGCCATACCAAGGCAACTCTAACTCTCAACAGCTTTGAGCCGGGCGGCGACGGTGGTGCGCCGTCAGAATGTGACAACCAGTACCACTCCGATGATGAGCCCGTGGTGGCACTTTCATCAGGATGGTTTAACCACAAACAAAGGTGTCTCAAGTATATAACTATCCATGGTAATGGGAAGAGTGTTAGGGCCAAGGTAGTGGATGAATGTGATTCTACAATGGGGTGTGATTCTGACCATGATTACCAGCCCCCATGCGATAACAATATTGTTGATGCATCGAAAGCAGTTTGGAAAGCCTTGGGAGTGCCCTCAAGCGACTGGGGTGGCATGGATATTTACTGGTCTGATGATGATGCTTGATTTTCTCAAGCAGTTACACTGTTTTTATGTTTGTATAATTAAATTAAGGTTTCTTGAGTGTATTTTTAGGTTAATATGTAACAGTTACACATATACTGTGACGGTTTATATTATAAATTTAATAATTTGTTTCTCTTAACAATAAATTTCTCTGTTATTTCTTTGTACTTAATCTTTTCAGATTTAAGTTAAAAATTTGTATTTCTCTTAATTAGTGTCAGTGTGCAGAACATAGAAACTTCTATTCTTACTGTTAAACATTTTTTTAACATTTTGAATTGAGTTCGTCTTTTTATGTTTAATTTAAAATTAATTGATAATAAATATTTAACCAAATTGAAAAAGAGTTTTTTACATTAGAACTTATTTCACTCCTCAAATTATTCGATTTTGTTTTGACGTTGATTTCCTGTCTCATTATAATTTTTAACCATAAATCATTTGTGAAATTAAAAATATAATAAAACATAAAAATAAGAAGAAATATGTTAAAAATAATATCCAATTTTGACAAGAGTATTGCCCAATGTACAACTTTGACGAAATACTCATAGTATTATATAATTATACAAGAATTACACAGATTTTGTTTTATATAATTATCCAAGAGCCACAAAAATTTTATACAAGAACATAATTGATCATTGGACTTGGACTCAATGAGGGCCCGAACTTGCGACCGTCGACTCATAAGAGCAGTTGAGCTAACTTGATTTGAAGAGGAGTGAACTTCGACTTCGACTCAAAAGACAAAACACTGTAACCAACTGAGCCCTTCCAATCAATAGACGAATGCTCTTATCAACTAAGTTAACTTTCACTAGATCCCTACGTGGCACTAAATTGTTAAAATAGCAATTTAATCACCAAGAGGCGATAGCTCAGTTGGGAGAGTGTCGGATTGAAAGATAGTTCATTTTTATTTTGTTTTTATATTTGATAATAGGTATATTATATAAAAAAATTTAAATAAATTCTTATATTTTTATCTTTGTCTTCATATGTGATAAAAGGTATATTATATAAAAAAACCTTTAAATTATTTTAAAAAAATTCAAATAAATTCTTATACTTTTATCACATTCAATTAAATCTTTTTACTTTTATTTATGACATTTTATTTTGAGTTTATATTTGATAAAAGACATATTATCTAAAAAAAATTCTTAAACTATTCAAAAAAAATTAAATAAATCCTTATACTTTTATTAATACAATCAAGCTCTTTTATTTTTATTTTGAATTAAATACTTTTATTTTAAGTCAAATAAATTTTTATAATTTTATTTTGGACTTTTATTTTGAATCAATAAGCTCTTATACTTTTATTTTGAGTTAATTAAATTATTTAAAAAATTCAAATAAACCTTCATATTTTTATTGCATTCAATCAGGTTTTTTTACTTTTATTTTGAATTAAATAAATTTTTATATTTTTATTTTAAGTCAGATAAATATAATATACTGACATATCATAATTGATGATGATGTAGTATGTTGATATATTATATTTAATTATGACGTGACATACTAAATTGGTATGATAACATGACCATGTGATAGTTGTTACCCTTCATATCAACATTGTATTAATACCATGTGGATACAAAATGACAAATGATATTTCGATTAATGATAATTAATCTATCGTTAGTTATAAGAGTTTATTTAATTTAGAATAAAAATATAAGAGTTTGATTGAACGTAATAAAAGGATAGGAGTTTATTTGAATTTTTTTGAATAGTTTAGACACTTATTTGAGCATTATGCTATTTTTTTTTTACGTTTTACGGTCTTTTCCCACCAAAATTTTTAAATTTAGTTAACTTCCTTGAGTCAATTTTTAAAATTTTTAAATTTTTCATACTCTTTGAGTCAATTTTCTTTCTCATTTGCATTTTATGCTTCTATTTTCTCAAAATCTTCATAATTTTCAAAATAAAATGGAAAAAGATAAAAATAATTAAAACTATATTGTTAGAAAAGATTTAAAGTCATCAATCTTTAGTCTAATTGTATAGGCATTATATAATAAATAATATTTTATTTGAAGCATTATAGTTATGTTTTGTAAGTAAATTGTTTGTCTTAATCTACAATTTATCTCGTAGAATATATGATAAATTTTAATTTTAATTATTATTAATAAATTTTATTGGATTTAGGGTTAAAGCAAAGACAATGATAATAAAGAGCAAGAAAGTGCATCCGAGTATTTAGCTTATTAATTGGTGCATGATCTCTTGTCTAAAGAGCAAGATTCCTCCTCATGCTCTTTTCCTAACGAAAGAACGATATTTTTACCAACCTTTCCAGCATAAATAGAATAATTCACACAATAGGATATGGCTTTCTTACTTATTTTTAGATAAAATAAAGTAAAAACATAGATTTAAGCTATAAACAAAAGTATTCCAAATTTTTTTTAAAAATATTGAAATAATAAAAAATGATATATTTTAAACTTAAATATTGGAAATTGTGATTAAAAAAAATATATATCAAGGGATGGTAATAGGTACTCGTGAATATTTGATCAAGTTATACAAAATTAAAATAGCTCATATTTGAATTTAAAATGAGTTTGAATAGTAATTTTATTATATGTATAAGATTTTGATAGAATTTAGATAGCACCCATTGAATATCCAAAATATATATAATTCTTATTAGTGGTTTTGTCACCAAAGCCCCCTATTTTAGGTAATCCTACTTAGTTTATGCGCATTTGCCTAGCAATGCGACAATTTTTTGCGACCAATTAGAAACAATAAAGTCCAATGCTTTAATTTAGAAAGTTTTCTCAAGGTTACCTACTGCTTCTTCGGCTGTTTCGCTTGGTTGTTTTGTTTAAGAGGAATTTCAGGCCGAATGAATACTATAACCATGTCCAATATCCCCATCAGCGTAGCAGAACTGCAACATTCTTGCCATCTCATTCACTCTTGCAGGGTTTCTGCTTCGTCTAGGGACAAGGCACTTGTTTGTTGATTAGTATAATCATAAGGAACTCCCCTGTTTCCAACAAGCGATCTGGGTCTCCATCAACCGTTTGAACAAGTTACTGCTGCCGTGAGATGCCAAAAAAATGAATCAAACCAGGAACATTCCACAAAGACATGTTAGCGGTCCATCATAATATTTGACTCCATACACCTTATTGTCTCACTGTCACAATATTTTCAGCAAACACATTTACTTCTTGAAAGGCCGTGTATAGCGCCACAAATTTGTTACTGAAAGACTGATATTTTGATCTTACTCAGGACTAATCTCTATATATTGCTTTTCTCCAAGTGCAATTTTCCACACCAAAACATCAAAACAGAAGTATATATTGGAGTAAAGAAGAACAATGAAGAAGCAAGTTTGTTCAAGCGTCTTCCTTCTCCTTTGCTTTCTTTTTCTGTTCCTAGGTGCTGAAGCTCAGACCTGCAATCCTGGTGGCAAGATAAGAGGGAAAAACCCTCCGCCAGGGCAATGCAACCAAGAAAACGACTCTGATTGTTGCAAGGATGGCAAGTGGTACACAACATACAAATGTTCACCACCCGTGTCAAGCCACACGAAAGCAACACTGACACTTAATAGCTTCGCGGCAGGCGGTGACGGCGGTGCACCGTCAGAATGCGACAATCAGTACCACTCGGATGATGAACCGGTGGTGGCACTTTCAACGGGGTGGTTTAACCACAAAAAACGATGTTTGAAGTACATCAACATATATGGTAATGGAAAAAGTGTGAGGGCCAAGGTTGTGGATGAATGTGATTCTACAATGGGATGTGATTCTGACCACGATTACCAGCCTCCTTGTCCTAACAACATTGTTGACGCCTCTAAAGCAGTTTGGAAGGCTCTGGGAGTGCCTGAAAGCGATTGGGGCGATATGGATATCTACTGGTCTGATACTGATTGATCACTTGTACCCATGTTTATAATGTCCGTATTAGAATAAATATTTCTTGTGTGTTTTAGGTTTATGTTTATATTATTATCAATGTAAAAGTCATACCTCTAATGTTTTGTTTGTTTTAAGCAATACAATATGTTTTAAATCTTTACTATCTGCTCTGTTTTGACTTTTGACAATTCTTTTAATTTTTTAGATATCTTTTTATTTGATGCTTGTAAGTGGATATTGTTTAGGGTAAACATGTATAACGAATGACTTCTAGCATTCACGCTTGATTGATATTGTTTAGGGTAAACAATATCGCCTTTCTTTCTAAGTTGTGTGCAATTTTAGAATTTAGAGTATGAGACAGTGTCACATCTCACACCTACTTATATCATTTGTTGCTGTATTAAGGATATATATGGTAATATTTAAAAATAATAATAAATTATTTAAAAATTTAAATAAATTAATTTAATTTTTATATTTAATAATTAATTTAATTAAAATATCATTTATCAATTTAAATTACGGGATGTTGATATGACATGTTAATATGTTATAATAAATGATGATGTGATATGTTGGTATGTTATAATAAATAATGACATAACATAATGTAATAACATGATATTTTTTGTGTTTTATATCAATGTCAAATGAGTATATAATGACAAATAATATTTTAATTAAAAGTAATTAATTAATTATTAATTTTAAAAATTTATTTAATTTAAAATAAAAATAAATGAGATTAATTGAAGGTAATAAAAAATAAAGTTTTATTTAAATTTTTTTATAAAATTTAGAAATTTTTGTAACCATTATATCAAATAAAAACAGAAGATAAAATATGGATCAGAACATGAATGTTCTAAGGCTTGGGTTAAGGATGCAGACCTATAAAGTACAATATTGTGCATGTAACTTGGATGCTCAACCTTTTCCTCCAAGCATGAAGAATAGAACGGCCATGTCGGCTTGTAGCAATTGTCATCTCATCGCATCAAAATCATTATTACTCGTTACCTTTTAGTCAAAAAAAGGACTTTTTTTTTCGTTCTTTACTTTATTTTACAATTTTTTTCTAAATATTTCCAAACAAATGCTTTTAAAAAAGAAGTTATGATTTAAGATTTTTTTTAAAAAATATTTATAAGCATACAATCTTGATGTTTGAATTTTTAACGTGATTAAAATGTTTTAAATTTTTTATAAAAGAAACAAAGAGAGAACAAAAGAAGAAAAAAACATATGAAAGCTTTTTACTCTTATATAATTTTTATTTCTTATATTTATTTTTTAAAAAATATTTCCTTTAAAAAAATTTATACAAACATTATAAAATTAAAAAAATTTCTCAATTTGTATTTTTAAAAAGAATAAAAATGAACAATATTAATACATACCCAAAAGAAAATTATAATTATTTTAAAAAATAAATTACAATAATAATCTTTTAAATTTATTCAACAAAATATCAAATATATATCTCCGCGATAACGCGAGGGTAATGAGCTAGTTAGTGTATTATTGCTCAGTTGTCTAGCGCCACGGCCTGCTATTTTAGATAATCGTACTTAATATATTTGCATTGGGCTCGCAACTGGACAAATTTTCGGGACCAATTAGAAAGAATAATGTCCACTGCTTTAATTTAGAAAGTTTTCTCAAGGTTACCTACTGCTTCTTTGGCTTAGTTGTTTCGCATAAAAGGAATTTCAGGCAGGAAGATCTTGCGATCAGAACTGCAACATTCTTGCCATCTCTTTTCACTCTTGCAAGGTTTTTGCTTCGTCTAGGAACAAGGCAATTGCTTGTTGATTAGTATGATCGTAACTTGAAGTGCCCTGTTTCCAACAAGCGAGATCTGGGTCTTCATCAACATTTTGAACAAGTTCTATTGCTGCCATAAGGTACTAAGTGAATCAAAGCAGGAACATCCCACAAAGATGCTCTAAAAGGGTTTTTCCAGTAGTAGTTACAAAACTATGGTAAATGGTTCTATACATGTTAGCGGTCCACCATGATATTTGACTCCATACACCTTATTATATCACTGTCACAATATTTGCAGCAAACAAATATTCTTCTTGAAAGGCCGTAAAAAGCGCCACAAATTTGTCCTAATTTCCCTATTGAAAGAGTGATATTTTGATCTTACTCACGGCTAATCTCTATATATTGCTTTTCTCCAACTGCAACTTTCCACACCAAAGTATCAACACAGAAGTATTGGATTAAAAAAGAGAAATGAAGAAGCATGTTTGTTCAAGCGTCTTCCTTCTCCTTTGCATTCTTTTTCTGTTCCTAAGTGCTGAAGCTCAGACCTGCAATCCTAGTGGCAAGATAAAGGGGAGAAACCCTCCACCAGGGCAATGCAACCAAGAAAACGACTCTGATTGTTGCAAAGTTGGCAAGTGGTACACCACATACAAATGTTCACCACCTGTGTCAAGTTTAACGAAAGCAACACTGACACTTAACAGCTTCGAGGCAGGCGGGGACGGTGGTGGACCGTCAGAATGTGACAATCAGTACCACTCGGATGATGATCCGGTGGTGGCACTTTCGACGGGGTGGTTTAACCATAAAAAAAGATGTTTGAAATATATCAACATCCATGGCAATGGAAAAAGTGTGAGGGCCAAGGTTGTGGATGAATGTGATTCTACAATGGGATGTGATTCTGACCACGATTACCAGCCTCCTTGTCCTAACAATATTGTTGATGCCTCTAAAGCAGTTTGGAAGGCTCTGGGAGTGCCTGAAAGCGATTGGGGCGATATGGATATCTACTGGGTCTGATACTGATTAATCACTTTTACCCATGTTCTAACGTCTGTATTAGAATAAACATTTCTGGCGTGTTTTACGTTTATGTTTATATTACTATTAAAGTAAAAGTCATACATCTTATGTTTTGTGTATTTTAAGCAATACAATTATGCCTTAACTCTTAATCATTTGCTCTATCCTGACTTCTGACAACCTTTTAACCTTTTACGTATCATTCTCATTACTACTGGAACCTGGCATTCGACCTGGTTGTTGGCAACTTCCGGCTAATTGTAGCCACTTAAATGAATCATCTCTCAAACCAAACTTAATTAGTATTTTAACTACTAGTAATTAATCTTGTTCAATCCGGTAAGTCAATGTCTTTTAAGGCCAATTTTCTGCAATATTTTTCCTTACCAGGAAACATCACCAACCCTTTATCCTTGGATCAATCCGTGACGTTTTACTAAAGTTCTTGACTTGGACTTGTGGTAAATTAAACTCATAACTTCAAACTAATATGTGAAGAGACGACTGCTACTTGTGACTTGTGGTCAAGTCAAATGCCCTCCCTAACCCGTCAGAGGAAAACGACCCACACTTTCTCAAGTTAGGCATGTAACAACCGACACTTTCTCAAGCTGGGCGTGTTCACAATTTTATTTGGGATTTTAGGCCATAGCTTTGCCTTTATATAGCTTCTCCGAAGTTTGCAATTCTTCATGGAAGAACATCAGAAAAGAAGTTCAAAAGAAAATATAAAAAGCGGGAAAACGAATGAAGAAGCAAGTTCTATTATCAAGTGTTTCTCAGTTTCTTTTCCTTTGTTTTCTTTTTCTTTTCATTTGTCTGTGTATTAAAGCTCAGACTTGCGATCCTAGTGGCGATATACAAGGGACAACGCCTCCACCAGGGCAATGTAACCAAGAGAACAACGCTGAGTGTTGTGTACAAGGCGAGTTTTACACAACATACGCATGTTCACCACCGGTGTCCGCCAATACGCCGGCTACCCTAACTATTAACAGGTTCCAGGGGGCCGGGCAAGGCGGCGGCCCGTCAAAATGTGATAACCGGTTTCACACAGATAATGAACCTGTGGTGGCACTCTCAACGGGTTGGTTCAGCCAGAGTAGTCGTTGCAATAAAGTTATTAATATCAATGGCTATGGGAACAGTGTGAGGGCGTTGGTAGTCGATGAATGTGACTCTCAGGTTGGTTGTGATGCTGAGCATGCTTACCAGCCTCCATGCCGCAATAATATTGTTGGTGCCTCAAAAGCAGTTTGGACAGCTCTGGGAGTGCCTGAAAGTGTGCAGGGTGAACTAGATATTACCTGGTCTGATGCTAATTGATCATTTTCACCACATTCGAAATGTCAATCTGTATTAGAATAAGGGTTTTATCATGTGTATCAAATTTTATATATGGTGTAACCATACTATATAAGTACCCCCTCCTTTCTTTCTAAGTTGTGTGCAATTTTAGGGTATGAGACAGTACTCCATCTCACAACTACTTTATCTTCTGTTGTCATATTAAGCGTAATCCTTTTATTTGGAGACACTCTTTGCAACTTTTTGAAGATAAGTGTATGTGGTGAAATATTTATATTTTTGTTAATTAATGTTTTGTCTGTTTTTTTTTATATATATATATCATTCAATGAGCCAAATGCTCAGAGTGCAATGTTTCGTTTGGTTGATATTTTTATTTTTTTTATTTATTAATTTTTTACTTAATATTTTTTGTATTAGAAAAAAAGTTTCAACCAAACCGAGACTAAGTGAAACATGAATGTTCTACGGTTTGGTTAAGGGCAAAGACCTCCAACGTGGAGAGGGGAAGTTGTTGCTCCATGACATTCTTCTTTAATGGGTATCTTTGAGTGTATAACTTGGATGCTCAAACTTTTACTCCAGAGCAAGAAGAATAAATGCTATGTTGATGTCAGCTTTTACTCATCAGAAGTTGTCTGCTTGTTGTTTAGGAAAAATTGCTATGGAGACGGCAAAATTCTCTTAACATTATAGCGAGAGGCTGATGCTTCCATTAGATGAATATTCAGCAAGATCAAAGTTCAATATAGATTATAGCATGTTTATCTACGGAATCTCCTTTATTTATAGAAGACATGTCTCCTTGGTTATCTCATATTAAAATCCCAAAAAAACAAAAATTCTTACAGGGCAATATTTATTAGTGTTCTTTCCTAATATTCTATTTGGGCAAATATATATACTCAGATTCTATATCTGATTCATTCACCTGCTTACAAACATTCCAATCCTAAAGTAGAAACAAGATAGCAGCCTTGTTGCTTGGATATGTCAATGTTATAGTATTCAACATTGTTGGATTCAGGCTAATCAGTATTTGACGTCCAATCCTATTCTCTTTAATTTAATATGCTCACGGCTCTGTACCATTTTAAATGGAATCAGACATGTTTTATTTAACAACAGACTGCTTTGTCAGGTGATTATTATTTCTTAATTGTGTTATGATTTCCAGCTGTGCAAAATGTTGCACTTTTAACCTCTTCTAACTATCTGTGCGGCTAATAAGATACTTCTGACAAAATAGTGGAATCCTTGGAAGAACAGACTTTAAAATAGTCGAAATCTGGAATTACAGGGTAGTTTGCTTGAGAAGCATGCACCCTTATTTCTATATAAACCCCCAAACTCTTCATGTTCCTGGCACCGGGCAACACTTAAGTACAAAGAGTTGATAGAAGAAGTAGAAGATGAACAGGAAGGCTTACTCCACTGTCTTTCTTCTCATATGCTTTCTTTTCCTTGTTACAGACTGTTTTCTTGTTGAGGCATATACCTGCAAGCCCAGTGGCAAGATAAGAGGGAAAAAACCTCCTCCAAAGAAATGTAACAAAGAACATGATTCTGACTGCTGTGTAGAAGGCAAACTTTATGATACTTACAAGTGTTCTCCAGAAGTTTCGAACCATACCAAGGGATTTCTGACTCTCAATGGCTTCGGTAAGGGTCAGGATGGTGGCGGGCCATCTGAATGTGACAAGCGGTACCACAAGAATTCAGAACTTGTGGTGGCACTTTCGACAGGATGGTTCCACAAGCAAAAACGGTGTCTTAAGTTTATTAACATTTATGGTAATGGAAGGAGTGTTCAGGCTAAGGTAGTCGATGAATGTGACTCAACAATGGGTTGTGACGACGAACATGACTACCAGCCTCCGTGCAACAACGACATTGTTGATGCCTCGGATGCAGTGTGGGAGGCCTTAGGAGTTTCCAAAGATCAGCGAGGTGGAATGGACATATACTGGTCTGACGCATGATTTCTTTCACCATATTTGCGTTGTTTATAGCTAGAATTGGGCCTGCAGATATATATGTGTGAATTTGTATTGCTGGTACAATATTTGGTCCTCATGCTAAGGTCCTAAAATAAAGTCTCTGGTTTTCAGAAAAACTATTGACAGAAGAACAAGTCTTTTTTCTTGGGCTAGGCTAATGCTTATTAGTACTAGTACAAAAGAAAGACTATGTAATAATGTATTCATCCTTCTTTTAATTATCATTTCCTTTGCTTTATTAAGCCGTAATTTTATCTGAAAAGGAAAAAAACTGGGCAGAGCTTCTACAAATTACAAAAATGCTTGTAGAAAGTAACAGTAACCAATATAAAAGCAGGCAAAATTTCACAAAACGAAAGCAGAGAAATAACTCTACTGGAAACAGAACTAGACCGACAATGACAAAAGAAAACAAAGACTACTAGCAAGTGATAAAGAACAAGAAAGAACCCCAAACAAGTACCAGAGAAACAGATGAAAGAGCTGTCTAAGCTGATGCTATTCTCAAGCGAAGGAATCTGTTAAAACGGTTGCCCCCCAATGTTTGTAAAGCAGCAACCTGTGTCTCAGACATCAGTATCTATGGACTGGAATTCATGAACAAGCTTCCCTCAGATTTTATGAGGAAATCTTAAATTTCTTTCTAACAAAATATGATTTTGCAAGCAAGATTCAGAAGAGCGGCAGCAATAGACCTTCCCTTCAAATTGTTCTTTTTTCTGTTGGAACTCATCATTTCAATCAACTATAGCCTTATGTAGTTAAAATGATCCAAAGCCATTTTCAAGCTTCTTTAAAATAACTACAAAATAAATAATGGTATGATCTCTAGTCTCCAAGTTTGTACATATTTGAGTTCACAGATAAGTAACATTTACTTCTTGAACTCTGCAATCTGTCTTTGACAACAAATTACTTTGAATTTTCTATGAAGTAATAAAAGAATGCCTAGGAATTGAATATTGGATTCCAAGCAATCCTATGCCGACCATTCCTTGGTAGCTTGCCTCTTACGAACCTGCCACAATACAAGTCCCTTTAGTAGAAGGATTCCAGGATCATATGCAAACCTCTAAGAGTTGCCATCAACAAATTTTTTTACTGCCTTATTAATCTTATTTAATTACAGCAAACTACATGAAACTTCATACATCCGGACAGGAGCTACCCCATGCTTCAAGCTGTTTCCATGAGGAGCTTCTTCTGTTTTTTCCATCAAACACCTGATCAGAATCAAGTGGAACTCATCCTTAATGCTAAAGCTGAGGCAATTATAGAATATTTTATTTTGCTTTATATCAAGATCTAATTCTCCAATGAGCAGTAACTATTTGATTTCTTGATGATAGTCATGACATTATATTATAATGATTTGTTTATAATTGGCATCTCATGGCATCAAAATCACCATGCTTGTTGCTTATCTAGTCTTGTCAGATAGTTGTTTGTGGAAAATGTACTAAATTTGGCATAAGGAGGGCAAAATTGTCAGAAACATATGGCAACAGGTAGATGCCTCCATTGATGAATATGCAGCCAGATCATTGCTCAGTATAGCTTTTTTATTTATGGATACCCCCTTGTATCTTAAGAAGAACATCTCCTTGTTTTCCTCACATTAGTACCTAAAAGAATCTTACAACAAAAAGATTTTATTTATTTATTTATTTTTCTGAGTTTGTTTCGGCAATGGTCATCACAGTCAGATACTAGTATCTCAGTCTTTTTTCTTGCTCAAAACATTCCAATCCCTTAAGCAGAAACAAGGTATTTTCTTTCTTGTATATGTCAAGTTCTGTAGCTACATATGCTGGCACTTCTGCATTATTTTAATTTGAAACACAGATGTTTTTTTTTTACGAACAGACTGCTATTGTAACATGATGGTTTTTCCCATCAGAAGCTCCCTGGGGGCTTAGAAAGTGGATCCTGCACATCGAAAGGTTGAAAAAGGAGGTGAAGGAATAGGAAATCAAACAAATCTACAGGGAAACAAATCAACTAGCTGATAACCTTGCCAAGGGAGGAGTGCAACGACAGGTTGTTTGATTGAATGCCTTTGATTAATATCCATGTCTTGCGTCCTTCTGAGTGTGGCTGCTTAATAGGTGTTGTGTTTTTTAAGCATCATTGTGATTCTGCTGTGCTGGTTGAAAGATATTCTACTGACTTGTGCATGGATGATGTTGGGAAGGATTATGTTAAACATCTTAGCTTTGAACTGAGGTGGCTTTTGGATGATGATCTCTGCTTTAATGCTTAATGGTGAGGCTCTGGTGTCAATGATTGTTACAGCTAATTTGTGGCCTGAGGTGTCAGTGATGGAAAATGATGCTTTTGAGCCTGGTCTGAGAAGCTGAACATGATGTTTTATGAAGAGCAACTTCAGAATTTAGAGGGTGTTAACTATTCAGGTTCACTTACACATGAGCATTTGACTCATTGGTTGGTGCATTATCCCTTGTTTAAAAAACAGAGTTCGAATCTCCCTGACCCAATTATATATATAAAAAAAAACTACTCGGGTTCATTTTCCCCTTCCCCAAATCTGAAAAAAATAAAACACTACTCGGGTTCCTTTTGTTATAGGCACCTGGAGAGTACTGGTGTTAATGGGGAAGGCTTGTTTTGTGTTTCGATTTCATGTTTCTGTTTGGTTGCTTAGTGCTGTGTAGAGATTTAATGTTGTGTACAGCATTGATGACCCTGTCTACCAAATGTGTTTTACTCGTGTTAGGAATTGCTTTATTTTTTTGTTTTTACAGGAGCTGGTTTTGTTGTTCCTTATTTGGGAGGGTCACTAAGGTGCTGTGATGATTGGGGATTGTTCTTCTCTAATATGAGAGTAACAGACCTGAATAAGTGTGTAACTTCTCTAGATGTTAAACTCAGAGTTGCCACATGGGCTCAAGCTAAGTGCCCCTTAGTATGGCGCAGTTTTAGATACTTATAGATTTCCAGCTGAGGGTGCAAAGGTAAGAAAGGGAAAAGATCCAGAATTGTGAAGGAGTGGAGCAAGCCGCACGAAGGGGAGATGAAATATAATGTGGATGGGGCAGCTAAAGGATGCCCTGGGGAGGCAGGGATTGGGGGCATTATGAGAGATGAAGAGGGAAACACTAAAATTGTCTTCTCAAAAGCTATAGGAGTGGA